ATAGTTAGGTCCTTTCTTGGGCATTTCTCAATGATTGACTTCAGCCGCTCGTAGAACTGATCTTTAATGTCGTCGTTGCTATCATTGGTGGGTGCATAACATTGGATAATATTCATTGTGATCCCCTCCTTCTTTGTTTTGAATGATGCTTTGATGATTCTGGATCCGTGAGATTTTCATCCTACAAGTGCATTTCGTGTTACTTCGGGCAGCATAAGAGCGACTTCCTGAGTGTGTGGAGCATTGTCCTCTTCGTGACCGGAGTATAGCAGCATCTCTCCCGTAGCTAGCCTTTTCTGTCCAGCTTGGGTCCAGTGGGTTTCGCCGATTCCCAGTACTGCCAAGTTGTATCTCCTCATTTCCATTGCTATTTGACTGGTCTTCCCGGTTTCCCACATTGTTCGAACGTTCCATGTACCTATAAAAATTTTTGCTCTGGTTGTTAGAAGGGGCATCGGCCTCGTGGCTTCCGAAGGAACTCGGCTTTCACCATGAAGCGTCATAATTCTTCTAAATGAAGACCTAACTTTCAGGGCAGAGTTAAAATGGTTTGGATTATTTTTTCTGGTGAGCGTTTTTTTTAGCGAGTTAGTTTTCTACGGGATGGGGACGCCAACCCCATGCCCAACCCTCTTCCTTTACCCGGGCTTGGGACCGGCAGTAACCCTATAAGAGCTACAGGCGAAATTAACCGTTAGTTTAGTGCTGTTTAATTTCCAAGATGGCCATTAGTCAACTTAAAAGCTCCTGTATTCAGTTCATAGAAAATCTTATTCTTTAGTTAATACTCACCCTTGTTCATACACATATGTATATATATATATATATATATATATATATATATATATATATATATATATATATATATATATATGGTTGTATATGATAATTTCCTTTGTAAAATAAACTCATTTATTCAATTTTCTTGTTTCCCCTATATCTCTCTCGCATGGTTGAATAAGACAGTTACTAATTTGTAACAAATCGTAGAAACTAGACTTTACTCATTTTTCTGTATCAATTTAACGTTCGTCTTATTCTCGTTTTTTCCCTCTTAGCTTGTGAATTATATTGATGTTGCTATTGCTTTTTTGTTATATTTTTCTTGAGAAGAATTTCTAATTATTGCATAATTATCAATGTAATTAGGTAGATAGGTAGGTAGGTAGATTATAGAGTGAATTTATTATTTTTCCATAGGAAGAGAAAAAATTTTTCGCATTCATCCATATGAAGTTTTTTTTTGCCTAAATTTATTATCATTACTATCATTGCTAGGATTACCTTTGTCCGAAAACATACAAAAATGATGTGATGATCTAAATTCTTTTGAGTGTTGTTTCTTTGTTATTTAATTCATTTTCTTCTTCTTCCTCAGATGATTGTCTGTTTGTGTGTTTGTGTTTAAGTACAACATTTGATCCGACCAATTTCTTGTGTGTTTTTTCACCATTACAAACAAGCAAACACAAACAGTACACACATTCGTCTCTTTTACACTTTGTTTGCAATTATCTTGACCAAGTCCTCCTTTTATATGCTTCTTTTCTCCCTTTTATTCACGTCTCATTTCTTTCACCTCGTCTTTTTTACTCTTCTGTACATCATCTGTCATCCTTTTTTCTTTGGGAGTATGTTTACAGTCAGTAATTGCCATTATTCTAGGCATACATATATGAATGGTAAGGACTCATAATTCTCCAGCATGATAGTTTTTATCCATTTTACTTCGTGCTACTTAAAAACGTAATAAGTAATACTCTAAAGGGTTTATTTGATAAATTATTGTAATTGATCATGAATTCATTACGTTAAAGTCTATACGAACAGAATGTAACAATAAACCAGTACTAGTTGGCATGACACTTATTACACTTGATACTAAAATCCTTATCTGAGTGGCCGTTTGAAATCGGACTTATGAAATAATTGTTTGGTGTTCAGAAATTATATCTTAACAACACACTCATTGAACCGGGTATATATTTTATATCTACATCCCTACTAAACTTACTAACACCTACTGTAATATAAACGACAATAAATAAGTACCCTTAAAACATTTTCCCATAGTTCTCTGCAGTAAATTAAGTTGTTTATTCTAATTTGGTTTTGTTTCAGTGTTTGGGTAACTTATATTATTTTGCAAATACTGAAGTCATTATTACAAATATATTCATGACTTTCTGAATACTCCCTTCTTTCGATGTTGAGAACTGCAACTAGTCAGTCTGTTTTGGCATATGTGCCTTGATATTATTGTTTCGTCACAAGTTTTCAATGAGTTTGGAAAATGGCCAGTAGTGCAATCCAGGATGTGCATTTCGTCTTATTTACGACTTATCACTTGCATGTCTTGTATCCCAATCTTATATTAGTCATTATTCAACTTTACTAAAAAACTATCAGCACTCCTCTCAATTGTCGTGTATTAAAAATGAAGGGGTGAGGACATTATAAATAAATAACGTTTACTGACTTAACCAAATTCATTTTATATCCACTGAGTGACATTATCCTATTTCCCAGCCTTCGTGTTATTGTCAGGCTGGTCAACATCGTCAGGGTTTCTATTCTAAGAGAAATATTGTTAGCTTTATGAAATATGGTGTTTAAACGCTAATTTAAAACTGTGCGGAATTAAAAACTGTGATAGAGTTTTGAATGAAATTTGTCTGAAGTATTGAAGTATTGTTTAGTTAGTTTTAATAACAATCAAAATGTGTATTTCATAAGAATAGAATCCAGTGTACATAACTAATACTCACTATGAACTTTAATTATTAGAACGATACGTCTAAAAAAAACTAATTGCTTTGACAATAACTGAGATTAAAGAATGAATGTTGCACACTCGATAAATAAAAGACTATTGATATTATTAAAAAATAACCCACCAATTCACTATCATTATTCAAAGCGTGAAGAGAGGTAATGACACTGATGAAAGGAAATCTTTCACTGATAAAACTGGGTGATTGTCGTTCTAAATTATAGATTGAATAAAACTTAAAACTGATGAGTTACTGATGTTATACTCTGTTATTAAATGGTAAACTGTTAATCGTGATATCCAATCGTTCTAAGTTCAATTCTATATATAGCTGTAAGAATGTGCTATTGAATAAACACAATAAACGACAAACTAGTGATCCAAACCATTTACGTTCCAACTGAATCTCCAACTGATTTTTATTAATTATGAAAAAGATGCACGAAAATTGGGAAAATCTGAGGATTTTCTATCTTTAACAGGTGTTTCGCTTTAACATACATTAAATCTTAATTCTAAAACATAAGTCATTTAACAATATATTTTAGTAAAAAATGATTGTACTTTCAAATGTTAAATGATTGAAGGTAGAAATCTACAATTAAATAGACATGACATTAACTCCTGTTTAGTTACTAATGCAATGTAAATATATCAATCCTACAGGGATTCAGTTGTAGCTTGAGTAGCTTACTGGTAACGTCTGAGACCATGCGACTAGGTAAAAGGGGTTCAAACCTCACATAGGGAGTAATTTCCCTGAAATCGCAGTTGTGACTCACTAAAATGCCCAAACTAGAATGACAGCTAGACTAATACAGGATACTCACTTGGCTACTTTCAACCATCTAACACCTGAGCATCGTACATGTGATGTTGAGTCACTCAGATTAGTGGCTACATTGTAATTTGATCAATAGAATTCTGTCAGCACTATTAGAACTAGATAAACATAACATTGGTTACTACTCAGCAATTGATCATCGTAAACTTTCAAATATACATTCCTAGAAAAAAAGGAACATTCATCTTTCTTTTCCAAATGTGAATGTTGCTTTTTCTCCATTGGTTTATTTCGCAATCCACACACATGTATACTTATACATACACAAGTAGAATTAAGTGTCTTTTCCTTTTTAGTTTATTCTAGGAAAATTAACTATTCTAATCTGTTGATGGACGCATTTAAAAATGAAAATTGTATTGGATCACTTGGGTTTGTTGTCCATTAACTCAAATAGGTTATTCATCTGATATTAAATGAAGCAAATACACTCGTTTGATTATTTTTTTCTCTCCAATGCGTGTAGACGCATTCCATCAACACTTTTTTGTTTGGAGGGAACCCCATTTCTTCTTGAATTTGTTGAATTAAGTCTTTGAATAGGCAAAATAGAATTTGGGATAAATTTACTGAAAATAAATTATTGTTGTCTTTTTAATCTGTTGAATATTGTGATCCTAACGTTTAAGATGCTACCTGGTTTCCATACTAGAACGTTCACTCATTCGAAATTCATTATTTGATTAATCTTATTTATTATTTGTAAACGTGAAGCATTCAGAAATTCTATTTGGAGATTCATCTACTGATATGCTTTAAACAAGAACTCAGAGATAAACGATTTGAATGTTGAACAGAGGATAAAGGTTTTTGTTAAGAGAAAAGAAGGTGACTATAAGAATAAAATATAAAATGTACATATAAGAAAGTAATTCTAATTGATCTCAATCCTGAATCAGTAATAAGATGAGTTATCATCATGGACTGATGACAGTTGGAAAACGATCGAATAACTGTCCAACATAAGTCAGTCTTGTCATCCCAATTTTTAAGACCGAATTCGGACTGACGGATTCCAGCACAATGGGCTTATGGCATTATAGTCGCCGTGATATCTAAATGTACTGATTATAGTCTTTAACATGCTTTTAAGTGTACACTGCTGAGATATCCCAAACTAAAATTAAACAGCTATCTAGTATCCCTGCTTTTTAATGATTCTTCTCCAGGTGATATCATTGCTTAATGGTAGCTTATGTCAATGTATTATTTAAATGTTTTTCATTTACATCAAAATTGTGATCTTTTCCCTTTTGTAACCAACTATTTATACGATTACTCATGTTTATCTTATAAATCAAAATTTTTCTACAGGACCATGTTTTTTGACAAGTTTGACAGATAGAGAATTGAATCCAACCAAATCATGGGGTGATCATATTATTTTGATTGTGATGCTGTTATGACTGGAACTGACGGTTCATTGGACAACTTAATTTATCAGTGGGAATTTATTAGTAATGCTAACAATAACATAAATAATAATTTACGATCTGTTAAACAAGCGAGCGATAGTGGATCAGATGCATTAAATACTATTATTCATAGACAACGTCTTCTAGTTCGGGCACCATCTGTGGTTGGTACAGTTTCTCATAACAATTATGATAATGTTAATAATAAGTTTGATTTAAGTCAATTTCATGAATCACAACTACGTATTGATAAACTGACTTTAGATCACAACGGAGAATATCAATGTACTGTAAGAACAAGATTAGCTACATCTGGAGGAGGAGGAGCAACAATGAACAATTATTATCAAATCCCACCAATGATTACAAGAAAATTTCGGTTGACTGTCAAATGTAAGTTTATATTTATGTATTTCTTAGAAATATTATTCGATTTATTTAAATTAACTTAAGTTGACTTTTCTTTTTTTTCAATTATAAAAGTATTTCATTGGTTGTTATGAATGCAGAGTTTTTGTCGAGAAATGAATTGCTTTTTTCCACTACTAGTAGACACTATGTAACAACCTCTGATACTAGCCACAATTAAATTCCCGTACTCTGACAAACCCACACTCTGATTGAATGCAATTCAATTTAAAAGTGAGAGATAACAAAAAAGGACTCTCGATGATGACTCATTTATCATTCATACAGTCAACTAAAAACACCATCTCAATGCACACAATTGCACACCTATCTACTTTTGACTAGTTTTTAGTTATATTTTAGTAACTATATAATTTTAAAAAATGTCATAATGAACGAAAGTCTTACTGAATGATTCCATAGCTTAAGTTGTAAGAACGTTATAGAATGTTAAAGTGTGAACATTTCATGCTAAATGGATTCAGTTAACTCATTCTTGATCCGTCATTACAACCGGTATTATTACCGGTTTATTGGAATGGTAGAAATTAGGCAGTTATATCATACTACATTTATACTTATATCTTAGCTGATTAAGTATACAGATTACCGGCTCAGTGGTCTAGTGGTTAAGCGCTCACTCGCGACGCGGGGTCGTGGATGCGCACTGCTGAGAAGTCCCACAATAGGACTAAACGGCTGTCCAGTGCCTCCAAGTTTTCCATGATGATCTAGCTTCAATTGACTCATGATCTCAACTATACAGATTACCTTAAGCAATTATTGTTAACAAAAACGGGTTGATTTATTATTTCGTAAAACTGTAAACTTTTATTAACTGAGATTTTGCTAAGATTATTATGTGTTAGATAAGATAGAAATGCATTTGAATACATAAAGCTATTGAGTATTGAACTGGAACGTGTCATAATTCAAGAGATGATTACAATTAGCTTTTAGAGACCTTGGCGTACATAGTTTTAATCATTTACAATGAGAATAAGTATGGTTATCCCTTATTCTTTGTTAGATTTTGAGTTTTATCATTTACTCTTCAATTTCGTTTGTTTCTTTCAAACTATATTTGATGGATAATGCTAGTTTGCTTTATACTCTAATGGTTTCTTCTCTTGTAATGCTTATGTGAAATATAACAATTCTGGTTGGTACATATCAATTCCTGATGTTACATTATTTATGATTGAATGATCGACTGTAGTCTGAAGTCATCATCTCCATGAGTTGGATTTTGTACATTTGATACACACTACAGAATGCTTTTAGATTCATGACACATAATTATATGAATGAATTATAAGGCTACAATATGTATACAAAGTTAAAATTCTTAATTTTATGCATGGTTAATGAACTTTTTTTATATGACCATATGACGCGTCTACAATGGACTGAATATTATGTGATTTACTTAGTTGTGTACAAATATTATCGGTGAGATTATAATTTATGGACGAACCAATCAGGTTCAAGATGGCAGGACTTAGATTTTGGCGTGAGATTCATCCATTCATTTGGCTAAATACCATTTCGGCATTATAGCTGATGCCAGTTCGTGATGAGAACATTAAATATAATTTCTAATCTTAACCATCAACTGTAAACCCTAATCCTAGATCCTCGCACTAATTAATGACCCTCATTTAGCCCAATTAAGTAGATACACATTTTCAAGGTTATTTTAGTGTTGCTCAAAGGTCTTCCATAAGTTATAGTCTCACCACATTATCTATTTATATTATGAATTAATCGAATGAGTAATGTTAGAATTAATCATAAGCCTTTCCAAACAAATAGCAATAAGCAGTTAAACAGAAAATCTTACAATACCAATAAGGTTCAACAACAAATTTGACATTTCACTGACGGATTTATCTTTATTTCCTTTGATTTATTGTTTTTCTTCTTACTCAACTCTCTTTATATAGGACAAGTTTCAGTGGAATGCAGTGTCCAGAATTCATTCTATCTGTCTAGCTGAAAATTTCTTAGATATAGAACTAAGTGAATTTTATGTACTTACTTACGCCTCTTACTCCCAATGGAGAATAGGCCGCCGACCAGCATTCTCTAAACAACTCTGTCCTGGACCTTCCTCCCCACTTCTATCCAATCGTTGTCCATTCTTCTCATGTCTGTCTCCATTTCTCGACGTAATGTGTTCTTTGGTCTTCCTCTTCTCCTTTGGCCTTGAGGATTCCGATTGAGGGCTTGCCTTGTGATGCAGTCGCGTGCTTTCCTCAATGAATGTCCTATCCACTTCCAGCTCTTCTTCCTGATTTCTTCTTCCGCTGGGATCTGGTTTGTTCTCTCCCACAGTACGTTGTTGCTGATAGTTTCTGGGCAACGGATCTGAAGTATTTTGCTTAGACAACTGTTAAAAAATACTTGTATCTTCTGAATGATGGCTTTCGTAGTTCTTCAAGTTTCCGCCACAAACAGTAGGACTGTATTGACATTTGTATTGAAAATTCTGACTTTAGTGTTGGCTGACAGACAGTTGTTTCGAGTTCGAGATGTTCTTCGGCTGTAAATATGCCCAAACATCCTCCTTTATCCGGGCTTGGGACCGGTAGTAGCCCCAGAAGGGCTCCAGGCGGAGTTAAGTGAATTTTAGACACCTTGTAAATTCACAATATTCTTGTTCAATTAAACTTGTTACATTTATATTCAACTGATTTACATTGACTGTATTTCTAATATTTTGATGGAAATTAAAATTGCTCAAGTATCTCAGTATCAATGAGTTATAAATATAGAATAAAATTCATCTACGATTTACATAGAAAACCACTTAATACTATTGAAATTGCTCGAATCGTAGAACCAAATAATCGCCCAACTACCGGAAAAACAGTTGAATTTTTTTTTACCTACAATGATTTGAACAACCTAATAGTATCGTTTGTCTTATCTATATATAATTTCAATGGTTAAGATCATGAGTCAGTTGAAGCTAGACCATCATGGAAAACCTGGAAGCACTGGACGGCCGTTTCGTTCTATTGTGGGACTCCTCAGCAGTGCGCACTCACGACCTTGCCCCCTTCGAGATTCTATATATAGACATAAAACATTTAACTCACAAGTCAGTTAATTAATATATATCTCAAGTTTTATCTATCGTATACCTGTCTATTCCCTATCAAAATGACTGACATAGAAATATTATAATTCTTCACTATGAAGACTGATGAGAATAGTAACCAATCATATAGTAATTCACTTGATATTGTTTTACTTGAATCTTCCCATTGATGTTTTAGGACTGAAATTGATCAGTCTCTTATTGGCATATGTGCATACTGTGCGTATGCCTCGATATTGCCTTAATTTACAAGCATTATAAGCAAAGATGGATAGTGGCTAGCAGTGGAATCCAGTTTGACGCGCGTTTCGTCCTGTTTGGGACTCGTCAGCTGGATGTACCTGCATCTCAGAGTTGATGCTCACTCTGGGACTCGAACTCAGTACCGTTCGCTTCAAACGCCATCGCGTTATCCACTTAGCTACTGAGTCCTGATAGCCACTCGTTTGTGCCATCTTTGCTTATAATGCTTGTAAATTAAGGCAATATCGAGGCATACGCACAGTATGCACATATGCCAATAAGAGACTGATCAATTTCAGTCCTAAAACATCAATGGGAAGATTCAAGTAAAACAATATCAAGTGAATTAAACTTCACCCCATTGCACAAGCAAGTGGCTATCAGGACTCAGTAGCTAAGTGGATAACACGATGGCGTTTAAAGTGAAAGGCACTGGGTTAGAGTCCCGGTGTGAAAATCAACTGTGGGATGCAGATATATCCAGCTGGCGAGTTCAAAATAGGACGAAACGCGCGTCCTGAATTCCACTACTAGAGAACATCGATCTTTGCTTAGAATGTCTGTGATTTTAGGCAATATCAAGGCAATCCACACAGGATGCATATATACCAACAAGAGACTGATCGATTGCAGTACTAAATAACAATGGGAAGATACATGTAAAACAACACCAAGTGAAGATAATAATTTCTTTATAAAAATTTAAAAATAAACTCTTTTCTGGCATTTATTTTTCATATTATCATTATGAATACTTTATTTCTTTAACACATATATCATGAACTTGTTTAATTTGCGCGCATTCAAAAATTAATCGTTGAATCGCTATAACAACAACGACAACAACAAACTGTGGTAACAGTTTTGTTGAAATCAATCAAATAATTATTTTAATTTTAAATTAGAATACCATACAATTAAAAGAGATTAAATTATACAATGGAATATCAAAAAAATAATACAAGAGAAGAAGAAAGCAGAATATTTCTCATATGCAACTGACCTAAGGCCTTTTAGATGAATATTTTGTTCATATAAGAAAATTGAAAATTATTCACTATAAAATTTTCTATTTGAAGTAATTACTTCATTTTGTAACAGTATGTTTCTAATAAATATGTCCATCTAAGTAGTGATTATTGATCCCTTTATTCTGTCAGAAGTATAGATCACTCTCCTTACTCATCAGATCTACTCACCTATTTGAAATTTCACAGAATGCGAAATAGTCATACGTGCCTAGTATTTTAAGAATGTAAAGACAATGACACATGAAATAATAATGTAACTAAAGAACTTAACTTTGATGAATGTTTTACACAATGGAGGTGAGAACTGAACAATTATAATGCTTCAAAATGAAAAGTATTTTGAACGAGATAAAAGTGACATACTTTGAATTAGGTTTTTATGTTCCCAGTTCACATATTTATAGGACAAATGAGTATACATGTGTATACATCTCAAGTGAGAATACCTAATTTTGTTTTAATATCATCTGAGTATTCATCCAACAGACGTCTAGATTCAATGTTATTCCTAATCATCGGTCTTGTTTACAAAATGTTCTTACAACAAATTCGTTTTCTACTGATTATTTAAACACTACAATCAGTTGATATAATTAAAAAACCAG